ACACACACACACACACACACACACACACACACATATATATATATATATGTTTATATATATAAATATGTATATATATGTACATGTGTATACATATAGATATATACATATATATATATATATGTATATATATATATATATATATATATATATATATATATATCTATATATATATATATATATATATATATATATATATATATATATATATATATATATATATATATATATATATATATATATATATATATATATATATCTATATATATATATATATATATATATATATATATATATATATTTCGACTGTGTATCCGCGTAGCCTTTCTGCGTGAGTACGGTGGCGGGTTCATATTCTGGGTTGAGTATCGTGCCATCTATACATTGCATGCATTATCCCTGAGGATTTGTTGCCATTACTGGACAGTGTAGGCGAGCTGTGTTCAGTCCTTGATGATACGAGGCTTGCTTCTTTGTCGAGTTTTATCGTTTTGAGCACAAAGAGATGTAGTATCGACCATCTGTTAAAATCAAACTGCCTTGTTCGTACCCACAAACACTCATCTAGAACTAGTTAGAAATAAAGCACCGTGACAACCATAATTATGCACACTACACCTATCAAAATCCCAAATAAATGACGTGAGAGATGTGTTTGAACTCGCATACACCTGTTCCAAATATATTTTATCATGAAGATAATTAACAGGAAATGTATATGGCAATCGTATCATACCTATCTTAACTGTCCCAATTATATTTTTAGAATACTTGACATCAAGACAGTTAGTACGAAGGTGCCGTGAAGTTCATTTCAGAATTAATATCTGTCAAATCACTCTCCATTTCTATTTTTAGAATTGACAGCATGAAGACAGTCAACATGAAGGCGGTATGCGGGGCGGCAAATGTGCCGCGCACTCGCCACTTTCACTACGAAGCCTGTACCTTTTCAGAGACTGTCAACATCCAGGTCACTGCAACTCGGGATGGTAAGGTGTTATGTCTGAATTTCGAATGTATATATGATTGGATATATACGTTGTATGTATGCAATTATGTGTACATGGTCCGCCTGTACCTTCACAGAGGCTGTCAACATCCAGGTCACTGCAACTCGGGATGGTATATATGATTGCATATAAACGTTGTATATATAGTTATGTGTACATGGTCAGCATGTACCTTCACAGGGGTTGTCAACACCCAGGTCACTGCAACTCGGGATAGTGAGGTGTTATGTCTGAATTTCGAATGTATATAGGATTGGATATAAACGTTATATGAATGTAATTATGTGTACGCGGTCAGCCTGTACATTCACAGAGGCTGTCAACATCCAGGTCACTACAACTCGGGATGGTAAGGTGTTATTTCTGATTTTCGAATGTACATATGATTGGATATAAACGTTATATGAATGTAATTATGTGTACGCGGTCAGCCTGTACATTCACAGGGGTGATCAACACCCAGGACACTACAACTCGGGATGGTAAGCTGTTAGTGCTGAATTTCGAATGTATAGATGATTGGGTGTATACGGTGAATGGATGTATGTATGTATGTGTACATTACAAGCATGTACCTTCAATGAGGTTGTCAACATCCAGGTCACCACAACTCATGTATATGTGATTGAATATATACGCTGTATGTATGTAAGTATATGTACATTGCAAGAATGTACGTTCAGAGGAATGGTGAACATCCAGGTCACCACAACTCATTGTATATGTGATTGAATATATACGTTGTATACATGTAAGTATATGTACATTGCAAGAATGTACGTTTACAGAAATGGTCAGCATCCAGGTCACCACTACTCGAGACGGTACGCTGTACTTTTTAGATTTCTCATATATTTGTTCTCATGCACATTGACATAAGTACATATATGTGCGTTAAAAATGTACACCTTGACATAATGTGTTAACTTTGAGGTCTAGTCATCTGAAACGGTGTACTGATAATCCTGAAAGATCTAATAAATATGTCTATATATGTAAACTTATGCAAGTGTCCGTGTGTCGATCTACTGTATGTACATCAGCCGCAAATTCGGTGGTCTGTGGGAACATTGCATGTTGTGATGCCCGTTTCTGTATGTGCATAACCATATATGTAAAAATGCCCGTACATGTACATACTCATGTATGTTGGGTTTCTATTGGCATGAGAGGAGTATTTATAAGCCAGTTCCACTGTGAGCTTTACGCATCCACTGAGGTTGTATCGCGAGTGACTTCGGGCAACGGCCAAGGTATCCTCAAACTCAATCTGCTGAGTGCTCTAGGCACGTCCTCAGCAGTAAGTATTGTCTGTTTCATTATCACACTAGCGTATTAGTATGACTCAACTCCTATAGATGCTTCATGTTTTAGGGTTAAACTAAACCCTCATTTTCTGTCAGACTGTTGCTGGGTACTCGAAAGAGAACACGTTCGTAACTGCGGCATAGAAGTCAGTACCTCATTTCATTGTTGTGTCGACAAGTGAATAGCAAATATGTTCAATCCTCCTGACAGTAAGGTCACTCTGATTGATGCTATCGGTGGTTAGTAGTACTATCGGGACATACCATCGGAGAGTTTAAGGGCGGGTGTCATAGTCTTAGCTATTCACTCTATATGCCGCTAATTCATCGAACTTTTACGAAATACTTATCGAACGCCCGGTTGCTAAGTAGGAAACGTTTGACATTGTGTCTAGTTTATTTTGACACTGTTTTGACACCATGCTCTGCGCCCACTAGTTGCGGACAGCATAGAGACGAGTGATAAATTCGGGAATCGGTACGCCCTATTTGAGGTCATTGTGCAGTCAGGCATCGAGTCATGGACTATCAAGCGATCATTAAGGTGAGTATCAGTCAGTAGGTAGCTGGTATTTGACACCTGACACATCTTTGCATCTGACCCAGGCTATCGTTTTGTGGTCGGGGTGAGCTTTCGAGTGATGCCGAAGGCGAGTAAACTACAATAGACGTTTAGTATCGCATATTTGACACATAAACACCTATGATTCGTCTACAATTGACACTTGACACTTGCCCGTCTGACACTCGACATCATTGTGCCGTTGGGCATTGACCCGTGGACATACAAAACAACTATTGTAGAGATGAACTCACAATATTTGGCAATTGCAGTTGCTACTTAGCACAGCCATATGACTGTTGCTACAAATATCGTACGTCCGGGAATCATAAAAAAAATGCCACATAGTAGGCTAGAAAATGATGGATTTTGGTTGTTTGTCTGGGTTTTTTACTTACAGA